CTGGAAGAGAGTAGGTGAGTTATGGCTCCTCAGACCTCTCTGTATTTCTATCCTGCGGTCGTTACTAAAGTTGGTATAACTAGAGAAGCAAGCGGTCGACAACATTCATCTCTGGAGGCGGGGTCTAACTCGGTGCTACGGTGGGTTTGACTCTAAATTAATTTTACACAGAATATCCCTTTGACCCTGGGGGGTTTGTTGGACAGACTTTCGTTTGGGGGTCAGGGACAGCAGTTTTTGAACGGACATCTTCCTACAGTCCTGCTCGTGGACTTTGACCCCGCACATTTATCCCCGAGGACTTGTGAGCTCCCACGGCAATCCCAGAAGTTTTCTTGGTTTTTGACTTTTTGAGAACACTTTTTCTGTCGAATGTTCATCTCAGGGGAAACTGTAAAACTCTGAACCTTCCCTCGCTGTCCCTTCGTGTGGCGTCTCCGATGGAAACCATGCGGTGACAAAGTTTCTCAAGGCCAGTTTTGTTTCAGTCGCCCTCGCGTTGGTGCATTTTGTACAAGTGACTTCCAATTAGGACCGTGTTCTGCGGCGCTATGATGTCCTGGTCCTGTCCTCGTTACTCGGGGCCTCTCCGTCTGATGCTTGGCGGTCTGTTTGCACTTTGGCGTCTGTTCTCTCTCTAAGATGTACTGTCGGCTTCGCTGTGTTTCATCTGCCTCTGCTGGCTATTGTTCATTGGTGCAGGTTTTGTTTGTTGCCGTGGTCGCGGTGTGAAGTCGGTTTCGCCTCATTTTAACTAACCCCGACGCCTGGGATTGGCTGTTTACCAGAACCTTTCATTTGTCCTGTGATTGGCTGTAAAACCCCGAGCTCATCTGAGAATCCGGGCGTTTGTGCTGCAGAAGCTCCAAACAAATCAAGTCTTGCAGTCAAAAGAAGTTGGCCGTCGGTCGGTCCGTCCTGTTTCGTTTCTGTTGTTGTTGCTCTAATGAGTCGTCATGCTCTGCAGCTGAAGGCGTCTTATGTTCAGACGGAGAAACAACCAGATTTTCCGCTTTAAAGATGCAGGGAAACGGGAGGAAAACGAACAATAGACGCCTGTAACTTCCTCGTCCTGGCCTCGCTCTCGCTCTTTCCTCCTTCACTTTCTGCCAGAAGAGAACAGAAGATCTCAAAGACACGTCTCGGTAATGAGAGCGCCTCCAGGGAGGAGAGGACACACGTATTTCTGAATAAACGCTTAATGCACTGTCATCTTAACAAGGTGCAGTAATGGATGAGGCTGCGACCTGAAACGGACAGGTAATCAATCTGTCATTCATCCAATCTATCAAACGCCGGGCGTGCGATCAGAGCCAGCTGTCTCTCCGCTCCGTTAAAGTGACGGACGTTTAAAGGTCTGCGTGTTTACATCTTTAATCCTGTGATTCAGCTCTTCTTCTTCTTCTTCTTCTTTTACTGTACGTCTCAGCTGTTCTCACCGACATCTTTCTCACCTCGTTACTAAAATCCTTTTATTTTGACACTTAATTCTGATATTTGCCACGGCACACATGGTCTCCTGGGGATAAACCCGAGATACAGACAGATACAAGCAGGGTTCGAATTCAGGTCTGCTGGTTGAAAAGTTTCCAAACAGCCGGAAAAATATCCAAAAAAATAAAAGGTCAGAGCGATTTTTCTTAAAAAAAAGAAAAAACTATCAAGCTAGCGTGAAGTGGCGTAGAAATATCCAAGAACAGGTAGTTTAGTAAATCTAACTGATACGTTGTCAGGTGGTCATAACAGTGGCGTCCGGATTACATACGAGTGATTATATGTTGATGATATGTTCAAACTCAGTGTAGCTTCGATCTCCAAAACAGAAAACCTGCACAGCGCTTGGCGAGTGTTTGTTTACAGGTCGTCAAAATAAGAACATTATTGACGCCTGTCACATGATGAGCTCATGTACTGTCCTCAAGAAGACGTGTAGTCTCAGACCGCGGCCCCGGTTCGGACAAATACCCCGATGTCTGTCTGTTCCCGGTTGAGTTTGAAAATAGAAAATATCAGACTGTCGGAATAAAGCGTGAAGAGTTAAATCGGAGTATAAACCTCACCATCAGACGGATGTACCTCTGTGGTGCGTTAACCGTGTTTGACGTCGTCTCCAAGGAGCACTTAAAGAAAAAAAAAAAATCACCATCTTTGTTCTGGTTTCACTTTCAGAAATCCGCCTCTTTTGTGGACCGGAGCGCTCTGACAGAGGGAATTATCAGCAGCAGCAGCACAACAGCCCCCGTCTGAGCTTCACAAACATTTCCATTTCCCGTTCTCCTCTCATCTCCCGGTGTCTCACAGCTTTCACGGCGCTCAAAACAATCTGCTTCAATCACTTTTTTTTCATTAGTGTCGAGAATTTTAACAAATCGTGCCCTTTTTGATGATCGCCTAATTATTCTCCTTCATTCGGCTGCATATCTAATTCAACAACTGCTTCATCTTCCCCTCCACGGCTGCAGCCGGCCCTGTTCTGCCTGTCAGCAGACATCGGGACACGTCTGATATTTATTGGCTGAACACGGATTTGCTCCGACATGCTTGTCTGGGATCTGCAGCTCCTCTAAAGCCGTCTGTTTGTTGTTTTCTTTCAGCCCAACATGTGGCTCTTTAATTCCTGTCACCTTCCTCCTCCTCCTCCTCCTCCGGCCCGTTCTTCGGCGTCGCCTCTTTCTCCTTCAGATTACTCAGAGTCCGGAGAAAACCAGGAGCTCAACTTGTCATCTGCATGAATGCACAGATCCCACCTTAAATTCTGTGGCCTCAGGAAATTTACATGAAGACTTTGTCCAATTATTCTCTGGCTGGCGAAATGAACAGTGTGAGCGTCACGCATGGTCAGCGCGGCGGCGGCGGTGTCAGGCCGGTCCCGGCTCCCTCTGTCAGGTTACAGAGCTGCTCTACAGGCCGAGCAGGTTTCAGCCCTCCGAGGACGAGGACCAAACTGTCAGCATCTGTCACACTGCAGAAGGTGCTTCTCAGAGTCTGGAGATCCTCAGCTCCTGAAAGTGCCTGAATTAAACACCTCACCCGCTACAGTCACATGCTAATTTATCAGGACGGTTAGACGCGGCGCAGGAGCTCGCCGTACCTCCAGCAAAGGCGTTAATTTGCAGCTCACAAAAGTCGGTGTTAAAGGTTCTTTTTAAAACTCACTGTCGTCAAAAATCTCAGCTGCTTCTGCAAACACAGAAAAACCTCCTCGACTGAAAACAAGAGTCAAACTAACTCTGGATCTCCTCAGAGGATAAACCCTTTCTCTCTCTTACCTGTAACTTAAGAACTCAAAAAAAGCCAAATACAAACATTCAAAACTAGATTTTGTACAAAGATGTTTCATTAGCAGAACTTACTGCCAATATTCATGGTCCCCTGGGGTTAAACTCAGCTGTATTTTAGTGTTAAAACATAAACCTGGTGTAACTTTAAGCTCCCGATCACCTTCTAAGGACACTTTTAGACGGAAACGGTCTCCATAGAAGACGGAAAACTTCAGTTTCGTTTAGGAGGGTCTGTTTAGATGGCAGCTGCGTTTTCAGGAGATGAAAACGTCACAAAGTGAAAACCTCCAGAGTGGAAATGTTGTAAACGCTCTGCTCGTCCCGCTTTCATCTAAAGTACAAAAACGCTGAAAACAGTCAAACCTGTGACGTCCTGGCTCACGTCGGCTCACGTTTATGACATCATAACCATGCGCAGCTTCCTTGAAAATAACAACAACAACCATGATAGACATTCGAGTCTCGCTGTCGTTATTATTGAACGGGCAGGAGCTCAATATCGTCCTGTACAGAATCCTCAGGGATCAAACTGCTCAGCAGAGGAGGAGTCGGAATTATTTACATCAAATAATTAATTTGATTATAATTAATTTTTATTTATTAACAAAAATATTATTATTTTTTATTTATTAATTATAAATAATCAATATTTAAATGGAAGTTGTTCTACGTATGCGTTCTATGCGCGGTCACACCGACATGCGCCACCTAGCGACCTGGCATGCACATTACAGCGTTTTTGTGTAAACTCAGCATAAAAACTGAAAACCAAACGGCACTTTTCTGTTTTCTATGGAGACCGTTTCCGTCTAAAAGTGACCTTACACATGTCCAGAAAAGGGTCAGAGGTTAAACCCTTTCCTGCTCGACCTACACGGGAGTTCAACCTCTGGTTTTGGCAGCAAACAGAGAACATGGAGATTGAAGGTCTCCTGAGGATGAAACCTAAAGTCACAGGAAACAAACTTTGTTCTAACTTGGCTCCTAATTTCACCTTCTTCACCTCACACAGAAACAGAAATGCAAATGTCCCCTGAGGATAAACCTCTGCCGTGGGACTCACACTGTCATGATCCTGGTCCTGTTAGAGGCTGGTGTTTAGTAGAAGAGACTAAGTGACCTCTTCAGTTATTTTAAAGGTACTACCACAGTCCGCTGAGGTTAAAGTCCACTCATGTTAAGTGAAGTCTGGACGCCCGTTCACGCCTCCTCTGAAGACGTCAGCGCCCCCGTCTGGCCGCCCTCGTCCAGAGACGTCTCTGAGCTTCAGATGTCCCACACGTCTTTGAACTTCAACCTCACTCTTCTTCTTTAGGGTCTTCTTCTCCTCTCATTCCTCTCTTCTCCACCCTTTATTGTCTTTTATCCAGATGCTCTTCTGTCTTATTCATAATTCCTCGTGTGTTTTTGGGGGGTAGTCTGTCGTCTGGCACTCAGATCTTCTTTTGGGATGAATAAAGTCCAGTCTTCTCGTTCTGACAGGACGCCTCATGGGGCTGCTGGTGATGCAGTAGCCTCTTAGTCCTTAACTTTGACACATCAGAAGTCTAACTTCCTGTTAAAGCGCCGGAGCCGCAGCTTTGACTGCGCCGCATTCATGGAAATAATGATGCTCATCCTGTCATGTCACGTCTTCATCACTGTCGGCAGCAGGCCGGCCTTCTCGTAATGGTGAATCTGTCCTGATCTACTCCTGCAGTAAAGTGGATTAGTATCGGTTTACAGTGTTGGTATTTGGATCCAGGGCCTCGGGCTCGCTCCGTTGGCGTCTGCGGCGTTTTTAATGAAGCGTTGCAGATCTGGAGCAGGTGATGCATCGTCTCGTGGCTGTGAATCGGTGCGGCGGGGCTTCTCTGCCTCGTTTATGATGACGCAGCTGCCGCCAGCTCGTATTTTACACCTCATTTGAATCTGGGGGGCTGGAGACATTGTAAAAGCAGGAGGGCATTAATGACCCCTGTTATACACACTCTGGATATTGTGGTGACTCATGGATTCTGCGAGGAGCTCGCACAGCAGCTTGTTTACTGAAGATATGCACGGGAATTAGAGAGCTAAAGGAAACACTCCCATCATTATCGCTGCTTTTCATTCAGTAATCACAGACGGTGGACGTGTTCAGGGACCAGGTAGAGTACAATCATTTCTTTGAGTTTAGTCGATTTTGTTTCTTTTCCATCACCTGTGAAATATCGCTCTTTCTTTTTTAATGGACTTTATCATGTGCAGCCTGAGCTTCGCAGAGAGCCTCCCATCACAGCGTAGATAGTCTGTTCGTTTTTCTCCAGTTTGCTCGTGTGTTGTGTCTGATTGTGGGGACAAACTGTCGGCATCTCCAGTCTCTTCTGCACGGAGCTGCACTGAGTGTTTTCATCCCCATGAATTAAATCTGTCGACACAAAGATGGTGAGCCTCATGGGAAGGTACGGTGGCCCCGCAGGGTCACAAACATTTTAACATCTGTCTGCAGAAACCTTTTGTAAAAGCAAACATAATTATCGAATTAAACAGCGTCAAGACAGAGAAACATTGAAATTTGATAATATACACATTTACATCAAGAAACGCATTTTCACAAAAAGTCTGGAATTTTTGATGTTTTGTAAAAAGTTTAAATGTGACATCTTAAGAAAACACAAGTGCAGAGAGTTTGTGCACAACGGCTCGGGCTGCACGATTAATTATATATATATATATATATATGTTTATGTATATATATATATTATATATCGCCAGGATCTTAAATCCTGATTGGATTATTTGATTATGAAGATGTTAAAAAAATTAAAATCATCAAAATCGATTTTCCTCTTTATCAATTCTTGCACCTCCAGGCCAGCTTCACAGTTTCAGATGAAGAGTAAACCAGTCCCCGCTGTAAAGTCAGTATCAACCCGTCACCACGGAAACAAATTCAGGAGGAAACGCTAAAGTTTTTCTCGTATCGGCGTTTCAGGTGACTGTAAACGGTACTTTTTAAAACGGGTCAGAGAGTGAATAAATCTGTAAACGACGACCATTTCATCTCCATGTGGATGTCTATCTGCATCTGTGGAAACGATCATGTGACACACAGAGTAACTCTTTTATGGCGCCAAAACAACCTTTAAACACATGATCTGTACTCTTCTTCTGTCTTTGGTGCAGCGATGGGCAGAGATGATAGAAAAACTTTGTATTAAAGTGAAGTTTGGTGAAGTTGTCCCTGAATAAATTCCCAAAGATTTCAGAAAAAGCATCAAATTTGTGCAGCTCTAACGACCGCTCATCTGAATATGTGCAAACAGCAGAGACTCACAGAGTTAACGCTGCAGATCACATGTGAGCCTTTGCATGAGTTTGTGTGTTCGATCGTGTTTTTCTGTGGGTTTAGTGGCTCCAGAAGCTTTTGTGAATCAGGTCCTCCATATTAAAACCTACCCCCCTAAAAACCCGGACTATTTCTGAGTGTTTGTGGTGATAAAAGCACTCCTCAGCCACACTGAGCTCATCACTCCTACATGCTCTGTCCATTATCCACCTGAGATGAGCTGTCAGCTGAAATTAGCCGTTTCCATAACTGTGTCTTCCAACAGCCTGAGGAAAAGGCCCACATGTGATCTGCTCTGAATCTAAACTGAGAGCTCTGATGGAAAATGTAGTTTTTAATGACTTTCAGCACAGCGGCCGCCGCAGCTCTGCGAGCTCCCCGATGATGAGCCAGACAGAGGACAGTATCGATCCCGGAGCCTCATTACGATGGAAACATGAGATATTCCTCATGCTGCAGGAAGCTTCCTGCCTGTTTCTACCCCTAACTCTGTGTGCAGCAGGCCCGAGTGTTCGGTTACTTAGCAACCGTCACCGGGAGCCACAGGGATGTAGGGAAGGACTACTAGGAGTCAGCAGGTCAGCAGCAGGGTTATTACAGCGGCCGCTTCCTCGCCTCCTGAAAACAAACACATCTCTGTTTTTACTCAACACACACTCTTCTCTCTGACACTGAAATAAAAGAAGAATCCACCAAGGTCCATCCATTATTTAGAGCCAACAGGTAATAACCAAGTCTGAATGAACTTTTCTGCAGCTTCCAGCTCCGTGGGGCTGATGGACACCCAGTCTGATGACCTGTTAGGACTTACCAGGAGATCTGTACTTTGGCTGAAATCTGACTGAAGCGCTCTGAACCCCAAATAAACAGACTGTGGAGAAGTCTGAACGCCTCTTTGGTCTGATTTTATATTTTTCAGACAGTTTTCATGTCCAAAATACTTTGGCGTCACTTTTTTCAACCGTCCAACACACACCACATTATTAAATGTTTCACTGAACGAATAAAAAAGAAGCTTTATTTAACCAGCAGGACACAGGCTGCACCACTCAAGTCTGCAGGGGCCGGTCAGAGGACGCTCATGCTGCCTTCATAACACCGTCCCACTGTCAGAGAACATTACAGTATTTACAGACTTATAATGAAACACACAGAGGAGGCTAACGACCAAATATGGAAGATAATGATGAGTGGAGTCATTAACGCCGCTACGAAGGCACAAAGTTACTCGCTCCACATCCAGTTAGCCGACGCCGTCTCAGATGATTTGACAAAATGAAGTCAAAAGGTGCCAGGCATCCCATCATGCTTTGCACAGGGAAAGTACTACTTTATGATTATTATTAGAGAGGCGGAGCAGGAGATTGACCAATAAGAGCTGTCTGGGACGGATAGCTCTCATTGGTCAATGTTTTTGCAGCCCTGCTCCTGATAGGGTGAACTGATTTTTTCTGTTCTTTTTTCTCTTCACTTTGTGGAGATCGCACTTTAGGACCATGATCGCCATAGAAACGAGGTTCTCACTAACTTCCACTGCTCAAACCGTGATCCTCCATTTTCCTTTAACTCTTTAATTTAAATAAACGAGGATAAAAATCCACCGAAGTCTGTTTCTCTGGACTGTCAGACCACGGCTGGACTCCACTACGACCACACGCCTGTATTTATTAGAAAACAACAACCGGTCCATGTTATTGCCTCTAATATTGCTGCATTGTGGAGTTACATCCAATCATTGTTTCTTATGAATCTCACCTTTTTTTTTTGCTGCCAGCAGCGTTCATACGAGCACCCATCCAATCATTTATCTTTTGTCTGCTTGGTAAAGAAAGCCTCCTGGAGGACATTATTTTCAGTTATTACAATATGAGGGATTATAATTGTCCTCCCGCAATTACCTTCCCTCCTCCAGAGGCTTTGTCACTGCGAATGATTGGCCTCTAATATTAACCCAAATGCATTTAATCAGCCGGTGCAGGTTCCTCACGCCGTATAATCACACTTGCAATTAAAAATGTATTACCTCTCTGCCTGTTAGGCCGGACCGAGCAGCCGGAGAGCCGGTCAGCTCCACCCGCCTGATTAGCATTATTTTACCGTGGAGCGTTACCGCCTCCACGCCGAGTCTGCCAGCAGCAGGATCATGAACACTGTACTCCGCTCACACCGTTTAGTCCAACATGCAAATGTACTGTACAGTCAGAGCCGGAGAATCAAAGAACGAGAGCAGAGCGGAGAGACTCCTCCAGCTCCTCCTGAATGGAGGTCATGTCAGCGACACTTAGTCGAGTTAAATGAGGCTCTGAGCAGGAGCAGCTGAGTCACTTTGGAGGAAATTTGAATAAAATCCACCTGAAAGTGCAGCTGATGCTCGTACTCCAGTCCTTTTATATCTATAAAGGTGTCACTATTCTGAAACAGAGCCCAGCTCGTTCACATCCGCTGTTTGTTCTGACACCAATAAAAAAGGTATTTATCGTAGTTCATAATTAACCCGCTTTATGCGGAGGCAATTTAGCTGCTCCGAGTCAAAACTGGCTCCTGATAATAGAGGCTTAAAACTAACCTAACCACAGGTGAGATAATAAAGGCGCTTCAACACAATAGGTGCTGATATTATCACACATTGGAAATGAGAGAAGCAGGTCTTAAAAGATGCAAATGAGCACCTTAAAAACAAGAGACGGTAATGGCCGCCCTCAAATATCTGTAAACAGACCCGACGGTAAAAAAAAAAGCGTCTTCAGGTGTAAACAGTCGTCCAACATGAGGCCATCCTGCATCACCTGAGCAGCCTGTGATGGTGCCTTCACGACGACAGGGGAAGCGGTTATTTTTACGAGCGTGAGGATGTGTGGAGTTATGCAACGCTCTTCAATCCTACCAGGACACATGTACCAGAAAAGAAACACGAGACCGACTTTCATGTTGTCCACCGCCAAGACAAGGTTTGGTGTCAGCATCTATTCCTGCATGCGTCTTGTTATCTCTGCCTCTCGCTATCATGACCTCTTCTCTGCTTTGGTCTGTTCCCAAGCATGTTTCTGTCCCCAAGCACCAGCCTGCAAAAAGACGGCGTAGAAGTCAGCTGGCTTTTGGTTACTGCATGTGAGGGAAAGAGGAGAAAACGGCTTTTCTTTGGACTTGTTTATTCACACAGAGTCCACACATGTCCCAGTGTAGACCCAGTCCTGGTCTCTGATGGTCTGAAGAGGTCAAAGTTCAGACCTGATGGCACATTTTCCTTCGTTTCCATCCTTTTGAAAGTTCTTTGCTTATTCACCGTGATGTTTTATCCAAATCTCTGTTCTAATAATCTGGATAATCTGGAAAAAGACTCTGATAGGATAATATCCAAACATGTCAACAAGTTCAGGTGTTTGTTGGGCGCTTTGTTTACATTTAAATCACTTTGTAATCCACCAGATGGGACAAAACAACCAGAGGGCGCTTTGTTTACATTTTAATAACTAATACAGCAACCAGAAGGAACTTAAACATTTAAATCACTGAAAGGAACCACCAGAGGGCGCTTTGTTCACATTTAATTTACTCAAAGTGCAAAAAGAGGGCAGTTTAACGACATTTTAGCCACTAAGAGAGCTACTATAGTGCACTTTGTTTACAATTTATCCACTAAGGGAGTAACCAGAGGGCGCTTTGTTTACATTTTTACAACTAATACAGCGCCAGTCATAACTTTAATATTTTATTTACTATACAAGCAACCAACTCTGTTGACATCCTATTTACAAGACAACAAAAGAACCCTTTGTTTACATTAAATTCATTAAAAGTGCAAACAAAGGGTACTTTAATTTCCTTTTATTCACTAAAAAACCCACTAAAGGGTCTTTGTTTACATCAAACCCACCAAGAAAGAAATCACATGGCACTCTATTTACATTTTTAACACTGAAATGATATTCAGATTTAGTCCTGCAGAGTGAACTACCATGGTACACAAGTTGACTTTTTATAAGTTAAATTTCAACAGGAGGTCACTTCATTTACACACCACTGGAGGGCGCTTATATGACATTTAAACTGCTTTAACAGGAACAAGAGGATTCTTAACTTACATTTAATCAAATAAAAGAGGAAACAGAGAGCAGGTTGTTGACATTTTATCCACTGGACAGACATCCAGAGGGATTACCTTTCACATTTTATCCAATTAAACAGCGAACAGACGGCACTTGGTTTACATTTAATACACTGTAAAGTTATGTATTAGACATTTAAACAGTTTGTTTTTACTGCAAGGCCCCAGAAAGGTCATTTTTATGATGTTGGTAAGTTAGGGCGGAGAGGGGGACATTCACCACGGCGCCGCGTTTGTGTCGAACTGACTGAGCTGAAGGTCTGAGCGCCTCTTTAGGACTGATCCCTGCGGTCAGACCGCTCTCTGTTAATCACAGCAATAAGATAAGCATAATTGGATATCTGACTTCCCACAGTGTGCGAGCGCATGTACAGACAACATATTGATCTGCTCTGTCTTCATAATTAAAATGATTAAGCTTCAGTAAAGAATCGCTCTGCTTTTTATTGGCTCACCAGCGTGATGATGATTATGTGTGTTCTGTTCTATATGAACGCCGTTCCTGCTCCAGTACACACCCCCACCCCCCCACTGAACAAACGGCTCGCTTCAAATTGCACCATCAGCCGCTGCTGGGTTTGAAATGTGTCGACTGAGACCTGCTGCTGGGATTTCTATTGGATCATGGTCCTCGACTTCCTGCCGCTGGCGGGCGGCCAATAGAGGGGAGAAAAGACAAACAGCGGTTCCAGATGTGCTTGTTTACCTGCTGAGTGTTTACACTCTGGGTGTTGTGCATGTTAACGCCATCATCAGAGCAGTTTTCAGGGTTTTTTATCACGCGGCGGAGAAATTAACTTCAGCTCCTGATCAGATCCAAGACATGAAATCCAGGGCTTAATATAAAGCCGATACAAGAGCGGAGCAGAAATCAACATGCTTATGGCAGTGTTCGCTTTTTCACCAGGATTGGGATGTCAAACATTGGTGCTGTTTCTTCCCGATGTGCAGCTAATCTGTCGGGGAAATGCAAACAGTGAATTTCTGTAACAGGATGAGTTCGTTTAGCGGTGCAGCGTCGACTCGGTCACTAAAGTATCTGTCAGAAAATGCTCCATAGAGACGAATCCAACTACTGGGAGAGTCCAGGCTGGTAGTTGCGGTACAGGACCACTGGATGGCGGTTTGGAACTCGCCCATCTCCTTCCTCAAGAGTCAAATGAAAGTATAATTAAGTCTCAATCATCCAAGATTGGGATGCAACCGAGAACACAACGAACTGAGGATCTGTCTTAAGGTCCTCACACACCAGGCGAATTATTCGTCTTTTTTTAAATCAGCATAAAGTCAATGCAAGCTTCCACACCGGCGGCGATTTTTCCTCGGGGCGAAAAGCAACTTTTATTTTTTCGCTCTTGTGTCGAATTTTTCGGAGATTCGCAGGCGAATATCTGGACCTGCTAGACCTCCGGCCAATCAAAGGTCATCTTGTTGGTGATGTCACAGACCCATGCAGCTGCAGTTCACCAAATAAATTTATTAATTCGCTTTGCAAAAGTTATACGCGTATTCGCTTCGCGCCCGGTGTGTATCGGCGAAAGCGATTTTTCGGCCGGCGATTATTTGCATTTTCCTCTCGCTTTTTCGCTTCGCTCTGCAAATTCGCCGGTGTGTAAGGACCTTAAGGGTGGATTTTTTGGACTGAGGGACACTGGGGGCTGAGTCTGGACCCCCAACCTCAGCCTCAGGCGACAACAGACAAACCAAAGTAGATCTCCACTACAGCACAGCATCGCCGTGTTCAACAGTATACTTATTTCTGATTGACTAGTTGAACAACTATATGCTGCACGCCGGCGCCAACTTTCAGGACTAAAATGAGACCTTGTTCTCCGAGTGGTTCGTGTTTCCGTTTGCCTGTTTTCTGGAAGTTTCCCGGGAGCTTCGCGGCGTCCTCCTCCCTCTCCTCTCTGGCGGAGTCCTCTCTCCGGCATTAATCTCCTGCTGTCCTCTCCCTCGTCACAGTCTGCGGTGTCTCTGTATTAACGAGCTCGTGTTAGCGAGGCCGTTCAGGCAGCATCTGATCGTACGTGGCAATCTGTAGTTTTATTTTTATTTTTTCTGCGACTCTTCTCCATGAAGCAGAAAATGTGGGCCACAGTGAGCCGAGAGCAGACGGCCATATCCTAATCAGTTGTGATAGTCTTGTAATTAATGGGATTTGTTAATTGGGTCTGTCCTCCCCGGGGGATGTTTCCTGTGAATATTCATGGAGCACTCGGCTAACCTTCCTCCTGCAGTCACTTGAACTTTCGCCGCCTCAGACGCACTGATTCAGTTTCCCGTTAACGTCGTTTTTTTCATCTCCGCGAAATCAAATCAGCACCTTCTAAATGTTTAATACTGCTTTACATGAGCAGATAATTCCCACAATGCTCCTCTCTGTCAGGGAGCCAGGCCGCCACCGTGCACGCCGGAGTCGTAATTACATTGGCGACATCCTTGCAAGTTCCAATCAGGTTTGTTTTCCCTTCAAACAAGGCGTCCCCTCTGGTTTCGTCTCGTCGAGCTGACAGGTGGAGAGCCGCCGTCCGAGCTGCGACACACACACACACACACACACACACACACACACTTTGTTAGCCAGTTTGCTAACATGGCGTTGTCAGCAGCTACAGGTGTAGCTGAGTCAAGCACTGACGCTGATGAGTTCTCCCGTGTGAGCGCCGTGTCAGCTTGTTTGTGTGGGAGTGTGAGGCGTTCAGGGGCTGCTGGGATCATCTGAAACTGAAACAGACAGCTGTTTATCCTCCCGCTGTACCACCGCATGTTCTAACCTGTAACTTATATTTTTTTATATTTTTATATTATTTATTATTATTTCATTATATATTATACATATATATATATATATTTATTTTTTTTTTTTTTTTTTTCCCTCTTCTAATTTTTTTCTTCATTATTACATCTATTTAAGTTCTTAATATTAGAATCCTTATTGTTATAACTGCATTTTTGCACTCTTTGTCTTGTCTGTGATGCTGCTGTGACAAAAAAATTTCCCCCATGGGGGATCAATAAAGGAATATTCTATTCTATTCTTCTTCTATATCACTGTTTACCATCTACTCAACAAAGCTCCGTTTGTTTTACACGTCTCAAAATTCAGAGTACTGTCCAGGCGATGAAACCCTGGTGGAGGTGTTACGAACATAAATCAAACTATTAAGTTAGAAAACGATGTGTTTAGGGACAAAGATGGCCGTCCACACTCTGGGAGTGTTGTCTGAGGAGGAGTGTCAGAGTTTTAACTTTAGTCCTGCTGCAGGGATCCTGTCCCTCTTCTCTCCAGACCTCCACCTCCTCCCCTGGGCCTGATCGTGTCTTTAGGAACACCCCGTCCTTCCTCTCTCCCCGTGTGTCCTCGCTGTCATACGCCCGGCGTCCTGATCACACTGTTCTCGCCGTCCTCTCCTCTCCTGTTTGTCCTGGCTGCTATATTAAGCCGCTCGATGTTACTAAAAGTGTCTCTAGCTCGTACCGGGGCTTCCTCGCTGCCCTCTCATTGCACAGGAACAGCTGTTTGGAGGTTCGGGAGGAGGTTGCTGATTGGCTCTTGGAGCGCAGGCAGGAGGGAAGAGCCCCGCCCTGCAGGAGCTGATGGATCACCTGTGTGAGGAGAACCTGCTGTGCTCGGGACAGGACACCCGCTCCCCTACGGCTGCTGAGGAGGACGAAGATGGATCGGTGGGTTTGGAGGGCCTGTGAACATGTTTATGGAAAACGAGAGTTTGAACCGAGTCAGGAGAACATGCTGAAAGTGCTGAAACCTCGTTCTAAATCCACTGACGTTTCATTTTCATATCAGAGTTTCTTCATCTCCATCCCCGATATTTCTCTTTAGATTCAGAGGAATTTAGCTCACATCATCACCCGCTCCACCAAAGTCTCTGTTCTCATTTTTGGAGCATTCAAAGTTTTGAAAATCCAGATACAGAGACGCCAGAGTCTTCCTCGTCTGATCCACGGTATTCTGAGCAAACAGGGAGCGCTGAGCGAGGACAAGAAGAAGAAGAAGAAGAAGAAGGAGGAGGAGGAGGAGGAGGAGGAGGAAGGAAACGAGCGGGACTCGATGGAAAATCCTTCCAACATGAAATAATCATGTCAGCAGCAGCAGGATGAAGAGGAGGAGGAGGAGAGGAAAGTTTGTTCTTCCTCAGAGTTACTTCAGACACAAAGTCTTCAGAGTCTCTTCAGCGGTGGGAGAGCGGCGGCGACCTCCATCAGCGCTCAGAAAGTCGTTCACAAGTTAGCGAGTCGTCCAGCAGTTAAAGAACGTTTCTCAACTCAGGACTGCAGGAGTTTAGAGGTTTGATCAGAATATTCAGAGAAATCTCTGCACATCAGCAGCAAGACCCTAAACCAACACTGAACCACCCTGACCATGACCTTTGACTCGGCCTGGGCCATTTGGCAAAAAAAAAAACATCACGATATATTTTTTCCTATCGTCCGATCTCGATTATTGTCTTTGTTTTTTTTTAAAGCATCTGTAGGAAGAACTAAAGAAACTAGAGATTAATAATCGAACAGGAAGAACTTCTTCAAACGATTAAACAGATCTGTCGTGTTGCCGGTTTTTGAGGCACCGACCGCCGACGTACCTTAAACATCGGCGTAATTACTGGACGTCACCTTGGAGATACTCAAACCACCGCCAAACAACCGACGATCAATAACTTCTCAACAATAACATCTTTGGAGGATGACTCAAAGTCACGGCTGTAATTTGTTTCTCTGCCCTCAACTCCGCGTTCAGTCATTCTGTTTACTTCCTGTTTACTTCCTGTTTACTTCTCCAACAACTTACAGAAGTGAGCAGGAAAAGCTCGACTCTGATTGGCTGTTGTGACGCACATTTCCATGTTTGATCGAGTAAATATTCTCACAGCTGATCACCGTGATTGAACTGGAATTTATCACAGTCATCGATCACGATCATATAATCGCCCAGTCGTACCTTTGACCCTCAGACAGCTCTGAACTAAAAACACTCTGTAGAGGATTTCAGTTTAGGGCTCAGGAGGACTTTGGTAAACCAGCGTCTATTAACACAGTCCGTCTCTACATCAAGTTCAAACTCCACCGTGAAAAAACAAAATCAGATATCAGCAGGAAACACCAACAAACTCAAAATAGACGAATATCTTAATTAAACAACAAAAACCAAACCGGCCACTGCATGAGAGCAGAAGACGACGCCTCACTCGTCTCCACACGGGGATGAAGAGTATTAAACATATTTCTGCTCGAAGCCAAAAATCTGCATCTCATTTGTGGAGATTTAAGGTGGCTGTTGAAAGGCTGTTGTCTCTGCAGTTCATTCTGCACTGTAACAAAAGGGCCCAGATATTTAATGCAGAGCTGCGTCTTTGCAGCTGACAAACCTGACATGACAGTAAAATGAGCCTTTCCCAAGCCTCGTCAGCCCTGCGGAGATTTGAATAAAACAAAACGACGGCCTTGAAACAAACAGGATAATTATGGCCTCTGGTGCAGAGCGCCTGTCTGTCTTCCTGTTGCTTTTATTCCACAAACACTGAACCGAAACAAGTCGCCTCTTGTCGCCGAGCGGCACCTCCAAGCGGCTCTGCGGAGCGTTCGGCGGCAGATATTAAGACCGTGACAGATGAAAATGAATCTTCCCTTCCTGCTCTCTGTAACAGAGGAGACAACAGAGAGTTCAGAGTTACGTAACAGGCTGAAAACCATCAGAAAAGAGAGGAGGGAGAGAAAGAGCTGCACTGAAAAAATGTACTTTTTAATAAAGACAGTCGTCCCACTTCTGTACAGTAAACTCACTTTATAAAAGATCAGCTGTGAAATAGACGACAAGGAGTGTTTGTTGTTACTTTATTTAGGGCTTTAAATCAGAAGTTAGAGAGCATTAATACTTTTATATCATGATAAAATTTTACAGTAGTATCATTTTTAGAAAACTTGAAGATCAAAAAACATGTTTTTTATCTCGACGACAAGAGACATCGGAAAAACGCGGAGCTGGCTGCTCGAGATTTACCCGGACTACATTAAAATACCTGGACTACATTAAAATACCTGGACTACATTAAAATACCTGGACTACATTAGAATACCTGGTCTACATTAAAATACCTGGACTACATTAAAATACCTGGTCTACATTAAAATACCTGGACTACATTAAAATACCTGGACTACATTAAAATACCTGGTCTACATTAGAATACCTGGACTACATTAAAATACCTGGACTACATTAGAATACCTGGTCTACATTAAAATACCCGGACTACATTAAAATACCTGGACTACATTAAAATACCTGGTCTACATTAAAATACCTGGTCTACATTAAAATACCTGGACTACATTAAAATACCTGGACTACATTAAAATACCTGGACTACATTAGAATACCTGGACTACATTAGAATACCCGGACTACATTAAAATACCTGGACTACATTAAAATACCTGGTTAAAAAGTCTGTCACGATTTAAGGAAAAACTCTAAAAGATCAGATTTATATTTAAAAATCGTAAAATTCAAACAGGAAATGATGACACAAACATATTTTGAGTCTAAAGAACATGAAGCACAAAAAAGGCCAATTTAAGTAAAAGTCATAATGATGAGATTAAAAACATTTTAAGTAAAAAGGCGCGGTGTTGAGATTAAAAAGTCGTTATTGTTGAACATTTTAAAAAGATAAAAACAAAAATGTTTAAACCTGTTTTTACATAATTAATTAAACCAAAAACTTAAATAATTAATAAAAATTTGAATAAAAAATAAAAATATGAGGAGAAAAAAAAAATCCAGAGATTACATTTTAAACTATAAGGTAAAAAGTCACACTCATAATAAAATAGTTTGATAAAAAGAATAAAAAAATCTTGACTTTTTGTCCCAGTGAAGTCCTTAAATTAAGATTTTCATTTATTAGACAGAGAATATTTTTCATGTCTTAGTTTTGTAACTTGCAGACGTGTTTTTGGACATCTGGTGGAAACTGTTGCAGGACCCTGCAGCTGATCCAGAAACCCGACTTTCATCGAAACGGGTTCGTGTTTCTTTTTTTTACAGTGTAGAGCAGCATCCAGAGAAATCCTGAGAGTCTTGAGTGAGAAACAGACTGATGAATTAAAGAGGAAGCTCCTCTTTTGAACATGAACACGGACAGCAGCTTACACAGTATTTGCTTGCACTTAGAGCCTGAATGAATCATTCACTCCTATAATTTATTGACTGGCACCTCTAAATGATGAATGACCGGGACGGAGCCTTTGGCGGCAGCTGAGATCCTCTGCGGGGAAGAAAAACAAGGAAGCTGGAAAATACGGGGAACAGGCGGGCATAAATAAAACAGCAGTAATCACATATTGTTGTCACAAATCCCAGAACAAAGGCAGCCGTCCTTCTTCCCCGAAACCCAGCGGAAAAACAACCGTCACCCAGCGAGCAGCACCGCCATATGCCTCAGACACACCTTAGCAGTTCCTATAATTACTCTTTATCCTGCAACAGTAGTCTGCTGCTACAGACACTTATTTACTACCGTGGGTTTGAATTATTCACTCGTTCTGCTGTCTGGGTTAACCCCTGAAGACCTGGGATGCTAAGTTGGTGTTGTTTCTGAGAAGACGAGGACGCTCTTGGATTTTCTCCAAGAGTTTGACGAGACGAGTCCACTAAAGTCCACAAATCTACTCCTGGAAAAACTCTAGATGAAGACGCCTTTTCAGGAGGGTACGTGGGAGTTGGCCCAACCAGTCCACGTGTACCGGGTACCACGATAAGGGCTGCCCGGTCGCCCTGTACGGTGCCGGAGATTGGGCCGAATAGCCGGTAAAAGATTAGACGTGTTTCCGTTGAGGGTTAGACTCTGTCAGAGCTTCCCTTTGTCACTGATCCTGTTCATAACTTTTATGGACAGAATTTCTCAGTCCGGTCCGGTTTGATGGTCTCAGGATATTGTCTCTGCTTTTTGCAGATGATGTGGTCCTGTTGGCTTCAGACATTTTTTTTTAAGGACAAATCAGAAAATGGATGCTGGAATAACGTCAGATAAAATGAATTAAGAGTTAAAATAAAAATAAAAATAGAAAATCAATCACACAGAACTTCCTTAAATCAACACAAATCAAACCTTTACACTCTTAAACACGGTTCCCTGTTTTACAAACTCTAAACTAACTCATAAAAGTTTCCTTCAGACTCGGGGATTTAGTTCAGACGCTAACAGAAAACTTCCTTCACATCATCAAATCAAATCAAACTTTATTTATTAACTGCTTTTCAAAGGATGTAACACAAAGTAATTTACAGTCCATTAAAAACAACAACAACAAAAAATACACGCACACACACACACACACACTAACAGCTGAGATAGTTGAACCAGTTGAAAAGCGCCATCAGAGGAGCCGTCAGCACCAGGAGCAGAGAGCGGCCCACAGCCACAGGACAGTGACACGGGGCCAGAGGAGGAATGTGTCAGACATCGACCTCCACCAGGAACACTGTGACCGGCCCCCACGACCACAGCTGACCTCTGCTCCCGGGACTGAGGGCTCCCTCAGAGGAAACACTGGTGGTCCTAAAAATGATGAAAGGATAAAAACAAGTAAAAACTAAGATCTGAATAAAATAAAACACAGACAAACTCAGTGACAATAAAAACAAATAAAGACAAAATAAGAAATCTAGTCTAAGTAGAATGGAAATAAAATAAATGAATATTATTTTAAAAGCTAAACTAAAGATAGGTCTTCAGCCTGCTCTTAAAAACATGAAGGTTCTCTGACGTCCTCTGACAGGCTGTTCCATAGACTGAACAGACGCCTCGCCATGAGAGTGTGTGTCCCGACTTTTGGAATGACTAGGAGACGCTGCCAGAGGAGCGCAGGGTCCTTGACGCTCCACATTCAACCTAAGAGTCAAGAAAACCAGCGATACATCCCTGAACCTGGTCTCAAAGCATCCTGGACCTGGACTTTCTAAAGCTCTCTGTTCATCAGTAAGTGTGCCGACTAGAGATGCCAAAATTCACTGATTCATATCTGTGGTCCGATACAAACGTTTGCGATGTGACTTCGCCGGTACATTCAAGGAGCGTCGGATATCACGGGTGAATTTGCGCGGCGTCAGTGGTGAAGATGAACGTCCTTAGTGTCAACATCTCTGAGAATAAACAGACCATGGATGAGTTTTATCGCCTCGTTTTTGAGACTGGCAGATGTTCATCTTTGGTTTCTCCTGATTGGACGTTACATTAAAAAAAGGGGGTATCTGATTGGTCAACAGGCCAGCCCAAAGGTATTGTCGCTTCCTTTACGGATCAGTCTTTCTAACGGTGTGAACAGCGAACATGAGTTCAAACACACAGAATAAAATCACAGATCTGTTTGTTTCTCATGCAGCTCGTCCCTCAGCTTGTTTTTGACCTTTCTTCTGTTTTTCTTGGTCTGGCGTCCACACGCACTCCGGCGAGACGACGCTTACTTCACACTTTTCTCCCAAGGAAGATTTCTTTTCTGTCACATCAGTCGAGGTGACAAAAGAGCAAAAACAAAAGCTTTTTCCATCCAAGTCCTCACTTTCTCGCCGCACACCCAATCGTCGCCTCGTGTCGCTGTCGTGTCCCTGACTGTGGCTCAGCGGGGCTGACCTCCTCGCCTGAACTCCACCCGGGACCTCCTCTCTCTAACGACACGGCGATAAGCCTCCCAGAATACCCGGCGGTTTATGGGTGTCAGAAACACGGAGGACATCTTTTCATGAAAGGCTCATAAATAAAAGATGAGGGGCTTCGTTTGTGTGACAGGTGGATCGGTCTGGGGATTATTCCTGCAGATGGAAGCAGGACCACAGCCCGTCAAACACAAACTGGGATCATACTGGTGACACTGGCTGGCATCTTTCGCCGCCTCCTGCGTCGACACACCACACTTCCTGTTTCCTGTTTTAAAAGCAGAATGAAGTCACTCCTGTTAACTGACGCTGTGTTCAAGTGTTTCTGCAGACTGGTTTTAAAGCTGGGTCAAACTGGGAGATGATTGTGGTTCACTGGTTTCATTCACACTCATAAATCAGACTTTATTTTTACCTGCTATGACTAAATCTGACTCTTCTCACTTTCTCCTTTAGATAACACGAACAAAAGTTAATTTATTCTGTTTGTTCACATGAAGGTCGAACCTGCAAAAACCGTTAAAGCAGAAAAACTGGAGGGATGCTGTGCAGCCGGGAGAGGTTAAAGATCGTTTTTTTTACCTCAAATTAACACAAATGAAAGTTTCATCTCAACAAAAGTGAGACAGCAGCTGTCCTGAGGATACCCTGAAGGAAACTCGAGGGTGGACCTCAGGGTTCAACTTCAGGACCACTTCTGTTCTCGATTTCTGACTGTTACAGACTGTTATACGCTGATGATACTGTAATGAATTAGGATTATTGATTAAAGGTGAAGTAGACAGGAATCTGTTAAAGAAGCATCTTTTTATTTTGTGGTTTTTATACAAAACATCTTCTAATATCAGTCAATAGTTATTAGTTATTGATTATTTGGTAATATATCGATATCTCTGTGTTCTCTTATGTCTGTGTCGTCAACATTTGAACATTTTTGAGCGGTCCGCTCTTTCTGACTGTAAAGAAAGCCGTTCTCCACCTCCTCTAACCTGATTGGTTGTGAGGCAGACGCTGCTCCCCCGTGTCGTTCAGGAGCCCAAACAAAGTTAGCGTGCTACAATATCGGACAGTAGAAACCAACCAGAAAGTTCGGAAAATTGTCTAAATCCTCCTTTGGCCACGACTGCCGACACAAGCAAGAAAACAAAGTAAATACCGGAGACTCTGGAGGAATAACGGGCGCTTAAAACGGAGGTAGACCGGACAAGAGCTAAAAAGCCGGGTCAACATAAACGATGGGGGACGCTTGGGGATCTTGGTGACCCTGTAACCTTTCTGCTGGACAGGTAAACCGCTTTAACAAAGTAAGACAAGTGTCTGTAACAGAAGTGTTTCTTGTCAAACGGACCTGCTGTAGCGTGTTGTAGCGCCATCGCTAAACTGTCCTCCCTCGGGTCCTGGACTATGTCACTTTATCCTCGTTGTAGAAGTCCTGCAAACATTGTGTTTGCTGGTAGTCTGTTGGCATCTACAGTAGCACCAATGCTTTTGACTTTCACCTTGACTGGGCCCCATTTGTAATGATCTGAAGTATTTATCTGCATTATATCTGAATTTAACTGGAACGATACGAGCGAGCAGGAGCGTCTGTTTGTGGGCGGGGCTTGCTGGGAGAGGAGGAGCTGAGGGGAAAACTGGTTGGAGGGGTAGAGTTTACATTCAAGATTTCTCTTAAAAACTGAAACTAACTCAGATCCTGACTACAACACCTTTAGTTGAATGTTATTGTGAATTCTGTAAGAATGAAACTCAGTTTGTTGTTTATTGATTTATTTCGCTCGTCCGACTAAAACTGGACTTTTAAAAATTCTGTAAACAAATCCGACCAACTGTGATCGCGTGAAATCAAACTTCCTGATACGCTAACGTACCTGTTTAATGTGTTTAAGGATCGATTTTCTCGCTAATTTTGAGAAATGACTAAATTGGACTGAAACAGGCCTCAGCGTTCTGCTCAGAGCTGTCAAAGTGACGCTGCTGTTTTCATTCAATTCGTTAGCCTCATGCTAACTCTTAGCAGCTACGGAGTGTTTACGTCCAACCAGAAAGGCTTGTTTATTTTCATATCGAGATTAATCAACATACTCCAGAAAAAAAAAGAGATATGTGCGCAACTTTCACAGGACCGTTAGCGCCCCGTACCTGAGTCCTGTTACCATGTGAACCAGCGGGAGAGAATAACGGATCACTGAATCCCACACAGCAGACCTCGTAAGTCTCAGTGACGTCTAAATAAAGGTGAGTAAATTCATGTTTTCAGAGGAACATCCTGATCAGAGTTTGGATATTTTCATGACCCCGTATAAAAAGAGAGAGACTCTGTTTTAAAGGCAGGAACCTGCATATCAGACGGGTTTCTCCCTCTGAGCGTGTGTGACACGGTCCTCCTCCTGAATGTTCTGTTTGTCTGTGTGTTTCAGAGTATTTTTGACCCGCTGGTTTTCCTGCCTTAATGATTCATGGAACAGATGGATTACCGAGTTAATAAGATCGACTCTGAGGCTTCTGGCTCTTGATGGATATTTCTGTGGAAACATGCCGCTGTGTCAATTTCACTCTGTCCTCAACGGGCTTAAAACATCACGTCTACAGTCTCTCTCTCAAACATGGCTCTGAGCTGACAAGTCCTGCGAAAACCAGCTGACTCTGAGGATTGTCTTTCCCGGATGAATTCCTCAATAAGGTCCCTGAGGTCCGGTGGCTGCCCCCCCCCTCCTCTGCTCAGGGTCCAGCCAGTCAGCACAGGGACCGACATGGAGGGAAAGAGTGGAGGCGGGATGGCTGATGAGACGAAGCTCATCCATAACACTAATTGGACAGAGCGGCAGCTGCAGGCCTCGGGGTAATCAAAGCATCGGCGCCGCGAGCACGCCCGCCTCGATTTTTTTACTGCCTCACATCAGGAGTGATGGAGGCGGCTGTCAGCGGCCGAGCCCGAGTGCATGAAGGTGCCGGGAGCAGCCTGCAGATCAAGCAGCCGATTGGTCGGCCACCTCCAACACTGCCTTCGCCATCGATCGGTACAGCAGGCTGTGAGGCCCGACTTTTCCTCTACAGCCTGCAGCGGTTTAAACGAGGAGATCATGGAGTTAGTTTCAAACTTTTCCTTCACAATCAAAGAGACGAGACGATTTTACAGACGTGTCTTCATGTTTGAGTTTGAGTTTCAGTCACTTATGGAGGGACAGTCAGGAAAAAATCTCTCACAAGATAACAGAAGTCTGATTTTTATACTTTAAAGATGGAGGAATAAGAAGATCTAACGTCTTTTACACCAACATGGTCACATCAGCGTCAACGTACACCAACACAAAAAACACACTCTCTGATTTATTTTATTTATTTCCTTTTTATTTGTTAAAGAGGGACAGTGTACATTAATGAACATTTTAAAAAGATTAAATGTAAATGGACCCAATTGTAGCCACAAGGCTAGTTTCCATTGGTAGTCCCCCTGCCAGAAGGAACATGGCTACCTAAAAAGGTGGGAAATCAGCAACTACATAAAAACATACATAATATACAATATTTAAAACATCAACATTACCCACCCGAAAGCACGCCAACCAACTTATGAGATCACCTCAGACTGATTTTACAAAAACACAAGTGCAAAACAAGCAACAACCCCACCAGAGTAAAACCATCCTAAAATACCCCCCAGAGTCGCTCTCTGAAGCCGAAAACAAACAGGATCCTTATTGAGTTCATTCAGTATTTACTCCATAGAGCAGCGTTGTCTATCACCCACAGGATCAGTGTATTTGGAGCGCAGCAGCGGCGGCGTAGTTCAGCCCCCGTCAGCTGGTCTCAGTATAGAGGAAACAACAGGCTCTCAACAGGTCGTTTTTCTTTCTGTGGTCGATTTCCTGATAACTCTGATATAATTCAGTGACTGTTGATCCTCGACTGTCTGTGAAAAAGCTTGAAGTGATTTTACAGTTTGTGTTTCTGCAGGTTTCCTGGTGTTTAATAAAGTAAACTCTGTTCCTTTCTGCTGTTTCCTTCAGACAGAGTTAGCAGGTCAAAGTTCTATTGGGGTCCACATGGATCAGGGATCGACCATCAGAATCTGTGTTACTGATAAATCCAGAACCAGGAAGGATTTCTCATCGACACAAACTGATACACAGTCAGGAGTTCACATGTGGTGTTTTATTTTGAAATACCGGATGACATGCACGGTTTTAGTGCTTGACTTCCTGTCTAGAACGATCTTCTCTGTGTAGGTTGACGCATGTTGGAAGCGTAGAGCGGCGAAAATCGACTCGCCGCGTATCTTTAGTAGAGCGATACGATGCTGCGACGGAGCTGAGACACGTCCTGTATGTTTTGCTCTGTGATACACGACACTGTTGCCTCGCTCCAAATCCACATCCTGGAGGTTTTAGCCTTCATTCAGGACCTGTTCACAGGTCTTTATCAGAGTGAGACCTCCCGTCCGTAAGGATAGCTGGGTTTCCCTCACTTCAGAGGTTCTGACCCGGAGCTGTTGGAGAGTTGCAGATGTGATGAAGGATGATCCGGATTTGTAGTTTGTGAGAATTAGAGGCTTTAAAAGTCCACCAGGAACAAACACAGTCCCATAAAACAGACGGACTCTGTAGTGGACATCACCGCATAGACTCATAATCACATTTGACAGTCTTCTTGGAGATCATGGACCCTGCACGCTCCTCTGACTGGTCCCCAGTTTCCAGAATCTGGTCTCCTGGGTTCCCTCACTGTTGACAGAGGGTTTCTAAAGACAAGGAGGTCCAGCGAGAGTTTAACTGAGTAACTCTCAGAAAGTCCGGGTCCTCTTTGGACCACAGACTGTCCTGTGACACTCACAGTATTTCACATTGCAGAGGTAAAGAGGAGCTGTTTTAGTGTTTCTATCAGATTGGTCGAGGGTTAATTTGGGGAGGAGCTCCTGATCATGAGAGTAATCGGAGAGGATGCCCTCTGCGGTGAGGCGGAGCGAGTGTGTGGTCCTGTGTGCTGCTGGTTAGCGCTGCGCGGCTGCAGGCTGTTCGTGCCTCTGCTTAGCACTGTGCAGTAAAACAAGTGGAAATTCAATAAATGGAGGCAGACATACAGACACCCCCCCCCCACATCTGCAGGGCGGTGCGGCCTGGATCGATCCTCGGTGCCCGGCTTGTAACGGCGCTGCTTTAATTAGCGTCTGCATCCTAAAGTCAGAGCAGAATGAGCGGATCGGTGGACGGTTGTAATTTTTCATTCTTTACTTTCATGTTTTTAGTTTGTTTTCTGGTTTGTTATCTTCCTCCAAACTTTATCTGGTTTGTTTCTCGATCATTCTATCCTGTCTTCTCGGTCTGGCTGCAGACTCCTGTCAGATCTCGTCCACATTACTCCCTGTTTCATACTTTCCTGTTTTCCTGAGTGAGTCCAGGACACGGTGAGCGTACGTGTGGCGATGCCAACAGCAGCCTTCACCGTGGGCTATGCCTCTTCTACATCCAGCGCTAATGGAAAAGCTGGCCTCGAACGCCGCCGCCGCGGCACATGGGTTTGGCAGCTGTTTGGTCAAACCTGCGAATGCTACAGGCTCCAAAGCTCGGGCTTTTATTTCCTGAGCTGCAGCAGTCTGTCAGAGCTGCAGCCGTCCAGGTTTTTATGTAAAAATCCAGCTGTTTGCTCACCAGGAATGAGTGAGGAAGTTGGCAGCGGAGAGGATTTTTGGAGCGGCTGTCAGGCCTCTTCAAAAAGATTTTTTTAATCAGACAGCCGAGTCGATTCTCCTGAATTCAGAGGAATATTTAAAACATAGGCAGAGTTTTTCTGTCTTTTCATCACTGCAACAAATCTGACGAGAGGACCGACTTTACGAAGAGTCTGAGTGTTACACCGCAGAGTCCTGAGTTCATGTAGTTTCCTGTCGTTCTGCACGCTCCAAAACTACGCCGCCGTACCCTCAGAGCGTGCAGAATGACATGCTGAACTCTGAACGTGTGCGTCCCTCATTTTTAAACATCTGACATTTCTTAACGGCTGAGTACAGAGACCTTCTAAAGTCTATAAAAGTCACTGCAGGTCCTTCAGTTCTCAACAGCCGAGGCTCATCTGAGCGCAGCGCCGATTTTAACTCTGATGTGTTTCTGTTTGTCGAACGCTCGAGCTTAAATCCAAAGTTCAGAGTCTCAGAAGTGGTTTAAAAAGTTCTCATCTTAATCTGATCCTCAGAGTAATGACATCCTTTAATTACCAAAAGCGAAATCCCTAATCATCCCTCGCTCTTATCTCTCTTTATGTCACTACCAAAGAGTTGGATTTCAACTCTGGATCCACTCAAACCTTTCTAAGCTCTGAGAAAAGCAGCGCTCACTCCTGTTTATCTGCACCAACCATTAAAGTCACACAGACATGAAATGAGTCTGAAGCGTAAAATTACATACTGTACCAGTTTATGGATTAATGTCTCCCTCAAAAGTGAGCGCGCTCACGTCCTCAGCGGAGTCTATAAGAGCCCATTAAAGAGCTTTCTGTAAGAAGTGAATTAATGTCAGAAGAAAGGAAGCTCACGCAGCATTACTGCCCTTTATTATTCTGCATTTAGAGAAGCAGATCTCCGCACACAGAGCCGTTCTTACACCTCTAAATCAAACATCGCAGTTTATCTGCTGCAGGAGAAGAAGAAGAAGAAGAAGAAAGGAGTCCTCCAGCACAGAGGTGGGCGACAAAAACATTTAATCTTGATTCAAACGACAATTTTCAACTTTAAAGTGCTGAATAATTAACAAAGAGGGTTAAATCAGAGTACGAGGGTCACATTTTAAAAATATTCACACGCTCCCTCACTCACCCCTCCTGTGACGGTGGCCTTCGAGGACAAGAAGCTCCTGAGATGCATCTAAAGTTTGATCCTCCAGGTTTTCTCCTTGATAAACATCTATCAGCTCACAACCATCAACTCTCCAGTTTGTGACAAGTTTGTCCCCTCTGAGCCTCTGTAGAAACATGACACTAGATCTTTCATTTATGTTTCTATACTCAGGGCTTTTTTCACACATATTTATATTATTTATATATTCATTTATATATTATATTCATTATTTATATATTCAGTTATTGTTTCCTTGTTACTTTTTCATGCAGGTTTTCTCCCCCTGCAGGAGAATTGCAGGAACTACAAACTCCATCCCCACCAGAAAAGTTTTTTTTTAATTTAGAGGACGATAAAACTGAGCTGTCGCTCGGATATTTGGACGTGTGTCGTTGATTATCTTGATTTGAAAATAACTTCACCTCTACTTTTCCCTCTCTCTCTTTTTTTCTGGGTTCAGTTTTTCTTGTTAACCCCTTAAACCCCCCCATCCTCCTCTTGGACTGTGACAGAACTAAAACCACGTCCCATCAGAGTCACTAAGGCCCTGTTTATACGTACCCGGTTATTTTTAAAACCTGAGACATTAACCATCGTTTACACCCTTCGTTTAGACGCAGATGGAGAATTCGCTTTTAAAAAAACTCCGACCTGAGTGGAGATTTCAGAAACCTGCAGGTCTGCATGTAAACCGAGGAAAACTGAGATTTTGTCGCCAACGGCAGAATGTGCGCCGAAAAAAAGGAAGTGACGTTGTTGTTGCTGCTATGCGGGATTCTGATTGGATAACATGGACTTGAGCTTTTCGCTACACTGCCACCTACAGGTTTGGCATGACCCTACGGCGTATATATACAGGGTTAGTGTAAATGAAAGCTTTTCTGAAAACGTAGTGGTGTGAACGCAGTTTAGTCTAAAACATTTTTTTCTGAGCTCCATCGTCCCGTAGATTCCTCTGGACCGCCGCTGCAGACGTTACACGTTACAAAGATAATCTCATTCCTGCTCGAATGATTCCTCAGGGGTATCATTCACAAATCTCGCAGCACACCGAGTCACTTTTCTAAGTTATTTCACCCAAAGGGCGGGATTTATTGATCAGCTGCTGAAGCTCAGCTTTAATAAATCAATACCTGGTGCAGGGTTTGGCACAGATTTGTGTACAACATATGGGACAGGATTCAGCGTCATGTTTGAGTCAGACTGACATGGATCCAGGAGCAGATGAGATGTTGTGTTATGACTTAGACACCTTTGAATGTGTTTTCCTGCTCCGGTTTGATCTGACGGCTGATGACACCTGTAAGTGTGGAGGTGATCTAAACTCC